CTCAAGCTTTCAGAATAGTACGATTTGTACCGATAGGCTGAGATAAATTATTATCAAAAGTAGAACCCCAATATTATTATTATAATCAAAAGTAGAACCCCATTGCTATTGTTACTATTATTATTATTATTAATATTATTATCCTTTTTATAACACTTTTTGATAGATTTATTTTTTCATGAGGTCGACCATTGATGACTGCTGATAGATATTTCATTTCTTAAATTTTTTGTAACAGTTAATAACACTAACATTGTTCAAATCTTAGCGCCAAATCAAATTATTGTGGCAAATAATTGTTGGAGGTAAATGAAATAGAGCATGCTCAAAAAAGGGCCAAACCTTGTCTCGCCTAGCCACTTAGGTAGCAAAGAGGTGGAGCGAGAGTAGGACAAACCAAAAGTAGTCGATATTGTCAAATTTAAGCTTGTGAACTTAACAGGTGATTTTGAGCTATTTTAATAGATTAAAATGATAATTATAATACATGAGTAATAGTGGCACATCTTTGTGATCTAAACGATCTTTCAAGCAATGTTGTGGAATCTTTTATGATGATGTAAGCAGGGTGAGCCTACGACAGCTTAGTATATTCTGATACTTTGCTGCCTAAAGAGATTACAATTTGAGAAAATTCATTTGAAACCAGCAAATATTGTATGACACATGCATTGCAAAATGTTTAGTTATCTGTCACAAATGTATCTAAAGCAAATTATGTAATTGAAGAGGTGGAGCTTTAACGTTAAGTTGTGCACCCGTAATACCTTTTGTCAAAAGTTTACTTAGACCTTTTCATGTATCATGACAAAGATAAATTTTTCGGTGGCTTATAATAGCCGTTTTAACATCATAATCCTAAGCTCTTTACATGTCTCTTTAGTGGCAATGGCATGTGCTATAGTGCACTCATTATAAATGTTATCATGTGACAAATGTAAGTAAATGTTACATAAGTAAGGATGATCATTCTTTGCTTGAATGAATAAATCCAATCCAACATTGCAAATACAGATAGTGACACACTAAAGCGAATCATTTGATGATATATTTGTAATAAGCGATTTTCAACCATGTTTTGCAAAGGCCTCTTGACTGGGTAATTAATATTCGTTTGACAACATTTTTCTAATAATGACAATAAAATTGTTATAAAGAATTAAAATTATTGTACCTGCTTAGATGTTGTTTGGACATAAGGACATTTTGTGTTATCACATTGATAGTTACTAAATTGCGATTGAACCTGAAGTGTGCCCATTCTGTTCCACGATCAACTCGAATTTGAAACCACACGCCATGCTCTAACACTAAGGGTCTATACAAACAAGTTATATTTTTACAGAAAGGTAATAACTAGGTAAATGTAAAAAATTGAGGGGCGAGCAAAACGATTAAATGACATTTCAAAATACTTTGTGATCAATAATGAACTGAAATCAGTGCAATAATGTTTACAATAAGTAGTTGTAATTGCTGTTCAGAGTAAACCTTTCGCTATGTTGTTAGCATCAACTTCTAGTTTAAGAGAATTGATCATCAAAAGTTTCTTTTCAATGGAATTTTTTATCAAAAGCAGTATTTACCAATTGCTTAAAGACATTTTGAAATAATGTCACTCTCCAATTCAGTGTCCACTTTGAGATGAATTTTAGCAATTGCTACTTTCTTACATCCAGATATTTTTGAATTTATTTTACATTCAGGGCACTGAAGTATGAAATCATTAATCAACTGCATTTTAGAGTGACAACTGGCAGTTGTAATATTCTTCACATGTCACAGAAGCTACTTCGCCCTCAATGATATTTACCAAACAAGGATTTGGTGGTAGTGATTCAGACACAACTTCTCCGATGTCATCTATTGCTGAGATTGTACTATCAATAGTTGCAGAGAAATACTTAATGTCATTAAACTGTTTCACTCTAACATCACCAAGATCATAGGAGATTCCTTCATTGAGTGTACCAACTTTACTTTCCCACAAAACTATAAGGGCAATTCCAGTTGCATCACTAACGGTGCAATCTTGTTTTGTCAATAATTTAATTTTAGAAGTAACTTGCACAGGTTCTTGAACCTTATATAGTTACTTTGATGCGTGATGACACAAGTTGATTGATTGCTAAAAGGTAGTTGTGAAAGTGATACATCACTCTGAGAAGTAGAATCCACTTTAAATTTTTTAGCTGATGAAACAATATCAGACATGTGGTTTACAACAATCTCTAATTTGTCTGTACTTGATGCTGACCTTTTCACATCAGAGCTAAACACTCCAACTGTACTGGTATATATCCTGCTGGGCATTCTTTATCTTGTCAAAAAGAGCAGTATTGAAAGAGACAAATTTTTTAGACCCCTAATCATTAGTTACCAAGCCATCAAAGTACTTCCTTTTTGTCAGAGCTTTGTTTCATGGGAAACAGTTTGGTGATGACACCATGAACGACGACTTTGGAGCATGTATCTTTTAGCTCTGAATCAGCAAGCCCCATGCTCACTGTGTTACTGAAACGGCCTTATCCTCCTTTGATGAGCCTTCCATCCTTAATATATCAGAAAATACCGAAAGGATTTTAAAGAGAAGAGTAATAATCACTTAGAATTGACTGGATTCACTGCACTTCTTGACAACTACTCTCACTCTCTATCACCAACAGCCATTAACACCTCACACGTGCCAAATTCTAATAAGCGCATGCTCTAATCTATAGTGAGAAGAAACCTTGGAAGAAACAAAATTTAAGAAGACTAGGATAAGACTCCGGAGAGAAAATGGGGACAAATATGTCTCAGAAATCTACAGATAGCAAGACACCCCTGCTACTAACAAGATATCTACAGATAGCAAGACACCTCCTGCTACTAACAAGATATCTACAGATAGCAAAACACCTACTACTAGCAAGACTTCTACAGATAGCAAGACTCCTGCTATGTCAAAAGAATTAAATACCCAACACGATAGTAAGATAATATTTTATTCAGGCCCAGCCTTTAATTCTCAATTCTCACTTTTATTGTCAGTGAAAACAAGAGAAGACATTACAAGACTACGTAGAGATGTTAAAGGAAATAATGATGCAGTGCAGAAATGAAAAAAAAAGTATGATAACAGAGAGAGGTATTGCATCCATTTAGAAGAGGAAAAGGCAAAGCTAAAAAGAAAAATAAGTGATCTCAAGACTATTGAAAGTGAACGAGTAAAGAAAGAAGATGAAATAAAAAGACAGGAGGAAGGGGAATTGATTAAGAGAAGAGTCAGAATTGAAGAAGTGCAAAGGATGAGGATACGAGCAATGTATAGTACTGATAGCAAGGCAATGCTGGAGTTAATAACTAAGTTAACTTTATAATACCGCTGTTGTATTACTGATGTTTTATTAACAAAAAACTCATTGAGCAATTCACTAATTATGTTATTACATTATAAAAGAACAAAATATAAAAAATTAGGATAATAATCATTAATTTTAGTTGCTTGCAGTGATGTTGCACCACAGTAACATCATACATGTGGTGATACTCAGCACCTTCGCGAATGTCTCACTGCTTAGCTGGCCCCCCTGCACCCTATCACCCGTGGGGCCTACAGTGAATTTTAAAATTATGAAAATATTATACATTATAAAATGTACCTCCAAAAGGCTTAAAATACTGTACTGGCACTAGAGCACAGTCACAGTGATAAGTCATCTTTCAATTACTTTCAGGCTCTGATTGTGAGAGATTTTCCTGTCTTGTCCTATGTGCAGATGAGTCTCCAAAATTCACATATTCAAATCCAATTAGTGACCACCACCCACAGCATGTATGGCCAAGAGACAATAATCTGACTCCTCATTTCATCTAATGACCACCACTCACAGTGTGTATGGCCATGAGACTCATGTCATCTAATGACCACCACCCACAGCATGTATGGCCAAGAGACTCCTCATATCATCTAATGACCACCACCCACAGCGTGTATGGCCAAGAGACTCCTCATTTCATCTAATGACCACCACCCACAGCATGTAGCTAAAAGACAAAAATGTGAAACTTCTGATCTAATAACCACCACCCAAAGCATGTATGGTCAATAGTTAAAGATTGCTTTGCCTTCCTATACCTAGACATGTAAAACACACTAAATGCAATATAAGATGCAGTTACCACTCACCTGTGTTTATGAATGGCATTTTAGTGATTCACTGTGTGACTGTTTGTTTTCATTATAACCTCTAGTGCCAGTAAGATCTTCATCTTGTTTTAATACAAGTATTGGTTACTATAATCTAGAAAAATAATTTGTAATAAGAAACTGGTAATAATAATGATAATAATAATGATAATAATAATAATAATAATAACAATAACAATAATCAATTGTATGTATAAGAACAATTTACAAGTATAATAATAATAACAATAGTTGTTTTGTTTTTGTGATTTTGATTTTCTTCCTTTTAAATAGTAATAATAATAATAACAATAACAATATGACTTTTTTCTTTTCAATATATCTCTGTTGTCTTTATTTGTACTTTAGTAATAATAATAATGATGAAACGTAATAATTATTTTCCAATAATCCCAGCTATGCTAAGTAATCAAAAGGAAGCATAATTTATGAAGTGCTATGGTAGCGTCTTTTTGAGTAAAATATGAGTAAAATACATGTAATGTGACATATCTCTGAGGTTTGATATCCAATGAAATATACGTCTTTTAGCATATAATGTACTAATGTTGGCAGAGATGCAACCTAATCCATTATGATACATCCTGTGTATCCTATGTAAAATAATGTGATGATAATGTCATCCACTCCCTATGCATTGATCCTCAGGAACAGGTGAAGTTTGTACTTCTACATGTACATCGATTAACTGTTCCTCTTCATTATGTACTAACTTATCTTCAGGAGGTGGTCCTTCTTGAAAAAAAAGTAGTCGTTGATCTTCTTCTTTCCTCTCCTGAAGACGTCTACTATTAGCGATGTTCTTGAGTCATTGGAGAGGAAATGGTGGCATAAACAGAATATCCTTCAACTTCCTTACTCTGGAGCAGGCGACAAATGTCAATTCACCACAGAACTCCTTCCCTACATCGATGACTACTTTGTCTAGAGTGAGTCCCTGGGATTTGTGGATCGTCACTGCCAAAGCCAGCTTGAGTGGTACTTGAAGGTGTGAACATTGACCACCTGAAGAAGACCAATTACGACGTACTGGAGTGATTGGTACTGTTCCATCATGCGCAGTTGGTCCAGTGTAATGATCAAACTGTACCATTGCAGCCACTGGGAAAGCAGGAGGTGTGATTTCCTTGTAGCAGATAGCTTCAACTGTTCCCATTGCTCCATCAACTAATCCCACTTCAACCCACAAGTTGCTAGTTAGCATCACTTTTGCTGATCTTGCTGGCATCACAACTGGTTCCAAGCCACCAGCATCATCAGGTGGAGCTTTGGCTGCATTGGCTCCAGTGTGTACTGCCTTAATGGTAGCAATTGGGTGACCACACTCACGTAACATAGCAACATTGTGATCAACAACAGCTTCAACAGTAGGGAACGGTTGAAGAGCATTTACATATGGAGACTGGTCCTGTACTCTAGTTGGTGTTTGCTCCATGAGGTGGTTCCAGACTTCTATTGTTGTATCTCCATTCCTGAGACACATTAGATTGTCACGAAATCTGATTTGATCAGGATCTTGTCCAGATTGCCTCATTACTTGGGTTAAAGTAAATGCTGTCTCAAACTGACTGTATGCTTTATACCCCTGGTCTGATAGATCTGATCGTGTGACTGTAGTATAAATGGGAAGGTCCACTACTGGTGGTAACTGTTCAAAATCTTCAAACAATAAAATAGAGCACCCACCAAACACAACTTGTGACTTTCCATGAAATGCTAGCCTCAGTCTACGGTCAATAACCAAAGGTCTTCCTTCCCATCATTGACATCTCATCAATGATGAGGTACTTGGTCGATGACATTTCATCTTGCATCTTTTGTAGATTGCTTCCTTCCATTTCCTTAAAGTCACCTCTCACAGGTAGGTGCAGGAGACTATGGAGTGTCCTTCCTTCAATAATAAAAGATGCCACTCCTGTTGGTGCAGCTACTCTGACACTACCACCCAACAACAACCACAAGCAGTTGATAAGGTTTGATTTACCAGTACCAGCTGTACCATTGATGATGATGTGAAGTGGTTCTTGACAGTTACTCTCAAAGTGCTGTTTGACAGTGGTGTACACATCCAACTGTCTTCCCTGAAGATTGTCTGGAGTAGCAGAGGTGGTAAATGGAGTGGGTGTGGTATTCTGTCTTCCCTGAGCAATGAAATTGGGAGCATTATCAATATCAGAATATGATCTTGCAGCTTCTGCCCAAGCATGCTCCTCCTCAGTTGTGTTGACTGGCTCAAGTTCACTAGTTCTTGGACTGATCAACATACATTCCTCTTGAGCTCTTATTTTCTGGTTCTGTTGCTGTTCGTCTTGGGATGTGCCCTACAAAAATATTGTTATCACAACAACTAACATACACGTACATGTAATGGAAGTAGTAAGGTTTTAGAAATGCATATTTTTAAGTTTATTCAGTATATTTAAAATTTTAACAACTAAATATTACATTACATGTACATGTACATACTTCATCTTCAACAGCAGCTGATGACTGGTGCTGCTGCAGTCTGAATATATCCTGTTCTAGGGATCTTGGAACATTTCCAGACTGGAGGAATTCAGCATAGGCTTCTGTAAAGGTGTCATAGGTACACTTGAGTTCATTGATATCTCTGAATGGCTTGCATTTCATCAGAGAGTGACGACAATACTGCTCATAGTTGAGGCCAGATGAATTAGGAGAACAGTAAGGTCTGGGAGTAACAATGACTTCTTTACTTCTCTTCTTTGGTTCATCACCAAGCTCCTTTGGCATAGTGTAGTGACAAGTAAAGTCGAGTATAGTGATGGCATTGAACTGTGGAGTAGTTGGACGTGACATATTGTGATCCAGCACAAAATGAGCTGTTGCCGTCTCTCCCTCTTGAGCAGTGTTTTCAACACTTCTAGAGCCATCAGGCTGTGAGTGAAAAAACTCCTTGATGCCTTGTACATAGGGAGCTGCAATAGGATTTGACAGGTTTCCTGTGCTGAATAGTCCCTTTCTCCAAAACTGTTAATGAGGAGCTTCTGGACAGCTCTGACTGATTTGTTGCCTTCTTTAAGACAACAAGCAATGTTGGCAAAAGTATCCTCAAAGACTGTGGTTGTGTCTCACTTTTGGTGACATACTTGGTGCAGTACTGAACAACCCTGTTCCTTGATAAAATTTACTGCATGTCGACATTAGCACACCAGGATGTTAGTTAAATGGGATTGAAGCTGTTGAGCATCCCATCATTACATGCAGTGAGTATTACAGGCTCCTCTTCAGTGATGATGGTCTGCGTCTGAAGATCTTTAGGATATCCAAACCGACACTCCTGCTTGCCATTATGTGTACATAGGCAGTAGGACCCTGAGCAACGAGTGTGTCGTTGGCAGGTAGCAGTTAAATCATTCATGTCTTCCTCGAAATCAGTTACTTTAGAGTAAGACTTAATGCAGATGTGTGAATCAACCTTTGCTGGTGGAGCATCACTGACATTACTGCCATCAGGAAGGACAGCAGGATTGATGGTAGACATGATCTTGTCAGCGTACTCAATGATCTTTTCCTTTGTTGACTCCACAAGATCAGGTGATGATGAGAGAAGGTCCTCAACAATAGCAGCATTGGGTAGCCAAGCTAGTCCATGTACATGAGGACTGCCCCGATGTTGACACTCAAACCTCATCCAGTAGTCTGTGGCTCCAAGTATACCAACATAGAACACTTTCACAAACCTTTGGATCCTGTAGGTAAAAAACCAATCAACTAGTGCAGGGTTATTGATCACTACTGTAGCTCGAGCTTGTTTGTCATCTGGATCTTCAGGACAGATGAAGTGAGCTAACTCAGGCCACTGGTGATAAGCAGCAATGTGAGTGAAGAAGATGGTAGGCAGTCCCAAAGTGTCTATCATAGCAATGAGCTTGTTCCTCTCCTTAAACCAATACTGCCTAGTGCCACGCAGACTGGTACCATAATGGACAACTTTGTTCGAGAACCTTTCACTTTCCCGACCGATCATGTCTCTGAGGTCATCTACAATAAGATGAGCTTCCTCTGGATGTTGCTTGATGTAGAATCATCCCGTCTCATTTGCTCTCCAACGCATTTCTGTTTTGAGTGCAAAGAAACGGAACCGAGGGTGTTTAGCGAATCTTCCGTCATCATCATTAAATGAGTAAAGTAGTCAGCAGTTTGGATAAGGTGAGATCTAATGCCATTGTAGTCAGCAGCACCTAGAATATTAATTTTAAAAGCATAATGTCTATGTATAGTATATCTTGTAACAAACCTGTTGGAAATAGAGTTGGGAATGCCATTGAGAACTATCCCTCTGTTGTGAACTCATTGATAGGAGTACCACCAACACTGGGCCACATGAGGGTTGATGACTGTGACTGTCCCAGTGCTTGTTGAATTGTCTCCCTCTCTGTAGCTGGAGGTGCTGCGTTGGGTACAAATGATGAAGAATAGTGATCTTTACTTGTACATGTAGCTTCACCAGATGTAACTTCAGCTTCTGATTGTACTGGCTGAACTGAACGAATGTCAGAGAGGTCTCCATCGTCAGGTAGACTTGCCAAGCTATCTTGATGTGAACAAAAAGAGTGCCTCTGATAGTAGATGTTATTGGCCGTCAACCATGTAAGAGCGTCTTCAACAACTCATCTACAATCATGAAAGTCTCTGTGATTCTGTTCCCTCGCCTTCCTAACAACCAGTACACTGATGTCAGTTGCTAGACGTGGTAGTGAAGTAGCAAGAGAGTGCACGTCTTGTGGAAAGTTAATAACATGTCCACTTTAGCCGTATTGTCCATGTGGGAGTTTATATATAGACATCACCGGCATTACAGCAGATATTAACATATCCTCTGCTTGTGGCAGTCCCTAATAAAGAAAGAAGAAAATAAAGTTTAGAAAATTAAAATTATAATAACAATAATTCATAATAAGAAGAGTAGATAACAATTAGAGGAGAGTGCCCTACTGTGCCTATACCCCCTGCTTCATCACGTCGTAAAATTGAAGAGTCACATTCAGGATATTTTCAGTATTTTCATTGAGTAGTTATAGTTATTTTCGAATAACTACTCAAAAATACTAAACATATTCTGAATGTGACTCTTCAATTCTACGACGTGATGAAGCAGTGGGTATAGGCACAGTAGGACACTCTCCTCTAATTATTATTTACTCTTGATGATAACTATTAATAATAATCTAATAAATATTATACCTGCAATTGTGCTGGCACTGTTCCAGGATCCATATTGTTGCCTTTTGAGAACAACTTTGGGATGTGCTGGTCATACACTCCATGACCCCATTTGGCTGAAAGGAGACTGACAGGTTGGGAAAGCTTTCCAAACGCATCTTACACTTTGAAGAAGTAATAGAGGAAAGTTTCATAAAGATTTAACATCTGTGTGTTGATAGGCAAAATCTCTTCCTCCTCTAGTCTCCGCAGCCCTAACTTTATTACCAGCCAGCCGTTGCTCTCTCTCAGCAGGGTCCTCTTGTTCTCTTCTCAATGCAATTATAGTTCCATCACCGCTAATTGCTGTTCTCTCTCAGCAGGGTCCTCTTGTTCTCTTCTCGATGCACTTCGAGTTCTATCACCTGCTAATCACTGTTCTCTCTCAGCAGGGTCCTCTTGTTCTCTCCTCAATGTAACTCGAGCTCTATCACCTGCTAATCGCTGTTCTCTCTCAGCAGAATCCTTTTCTTCTCTCCTCAATGTAACTCGAGCTCTATCACCTGCTAATCGCTGTTTTCTCTCAGCAGGATCCTCTTGTTCTCTCCTCAATGTAACTTGAGCTCTATCACCTGCTAATCGCTGTTCTCTCTCAGCAGAGTCCTCTTCTTCTCTCCTCAATGATGCCCAAACTCTATGAACTGCAAACCTCTGTTCCCTCTCAGCAGGTCCCTCTTGTTCTCTTATCCTTCGTATCCTGGCTCTTTCTCCAGTTAGGTGATCTTCTCTGTCAGAAGGAGACTCCACTTGTTGTATTTGGGCACAACGAGACCTACCTCTAGCATTTCTATTAGACCTCCTCGCTCTTCCTCCTCAGTCTCATTCCTTCTCTTCCCATCAAGCTCGTTACGAAGAAGTTGACGAGCTTCACGAGCATCTTCTTGTGAATAACTCATGTTTTAAGCTTCAGCTTCTCTTGTTTCTTAAGTACTCTTCAACTTCTCTTTTCCAGTTAAGTTGCTTTACTCTTACACATTGTCTTTGCACGTGGTACCGTAATTATCAAAATTATCATTTTGAAATGTGTGATTATTATTTTTTATAGACGCATGAATAGGAGTGACATACATGTACAAACAAACAGACAGACAGACAGACATACTCGACTCGATTATGTGGGGCTCGCTTTTGCTCGCCCCAATAAACCTGAAAAATGTTCATCGACTGCAACAGGTTTTTTAATAGGCAATGTACCAAAATACCGAATGTAACAATTTTTTTACTAAAACCATCGACTCCTATGTCGTAAAACACCGAGCATTGTCAATTTTTCATTCTGATCAATGTGAATCTTTTTGCCATAATAATATGCCAGATATGGAGTAGGATTCAGCAATCTCTGTTGAATGCAATCTGGAAGCATGATTGTTAGGGTTTACTTGCTTCAAAGAATTCACCACTCAGTTTTCCCCTACCTTGTGAGGCTCGGAGTCAAGTCATAGTTTTTGCCCATACTGATTATCCACCTATTAACAATTAAATTTCAGCAACAAGAAGTTATGGGTCACTTTATGAATGTTTATCTTAACAATGTCATCTAGTTCTATATTGTTAAGTCCAGATAGTTTTTTTTTACCAGCTTTTACACAAAAGTGTTAGACATTTCTGGAACTAAATGTGCAAGAAAAAATCAGCTCTTCCCTTACTGCTTCATAAGAATAGTCAATCCTAGACCTCACAAAATGCTTTAAATTATCCAGTGCCATTTTTATCTAGATAGTTCTCCTCCATTTGGCAGTACAGCTCATCCTCTTGACGTCACATGCATGCGTACTGAGAGAGTAATAACATGTCTGTGAAACTCGTTAGGGAAGGAGAGGAGCTAAGGAGCCAATAGAGATTAGATTGACCCAGTTAACTCCGCAAGCTGTGTGTAGTTTGTTTTCCGCAAGTTTGTATATTTGTAGTATGGCACCTAGCTTTGCGTTTATTTATTTCCAACTATAGGTTTCAATGGACATGGTTTGGCTAAGAGAGTAGAGAGGAGCTAGGGCCTCTTCTCCAACCTTAGTAAAACTTCATTTGATGTATCCAATGATGTTGAGTGTTTGATTGCAATGAGGACTTTAATTAATGGTGTTGGTGTTGTATCATCTCAGTTAAGTGGATCTGAATTTTCTGCACCCATACAGTCAGTTACTACGAGATCAGTACTTTGCCCAGCCAACCTGTATTTAATAAAAAAGTACAGATGGAGGTACTGCAAATGTTACAATATTTCAGGCTCAATTTTTTAAATGTACTGCAAAAGGTCAAAGTAAGTTTCCACCTACAACAGAACAGATATTTGTTAAGTGAATGAGTCTACTGTGAATGTACTCCATGTAGCAAAGGTCATGCAAGATAGCTGGTGAACTGAATATATATTGATCACATCTGATGGCTTAAGGATATACGATTCTGCAGGGACTTGAGGTCAGTAATAAATTTCATGAGAATTAATTTGTGCTAAATATTGAAAAATAATTTTGTCAAACAAGACCAAAAAAAATAACGGTATTATTTACCAATTTTGCAATTATTTTATTGGTTTGTGGTTCCAGTGCGGTAGTAGCCGTAAAATTTTTGCTGTTACTAATGATGATTTGTTCACATTTGGAGAAACAGGAAATGGGGTATCAGATGAAAGGGATATGACAGAACTGTCATCTAGTGATGATTAAAATCCCCAAATGAAGGAAAAGTTTGACAAAGTTAGAAAAGATAAAGTTTATTTTAAGGGATGTCATGAATGGTATGGGCCTTACTCCAGTATTGTGTTGGTCTGAGAGGGCACTAACTAACACCTGTAATGTTAATGATCTGGAGGATTTCATTGCTACAATATCACAAAGACAAGATAATCCTTGAATATACAACCTTCTACTCGATCTACTATAGACATACTCATAGTGTCTTAGTATTAACAATCATGATTACAGTTTTTGTCATTATTATCATTTTCAACAGAAAATAATTATCTTACTTATAAAATTATGCTTATTACCATTTTAGCAATAAGTTACTATCAGGAATCACCATTTTATCATTTGGTTAACAATGAATGACTTTTAAAATTTTTGCTTCCTTTTTGTAATGATTGTGTCACTTTCTGAATATTTTTGACTGCAAATGTAATGCGGGTGGGAGCCTGTTATTAATATAGTCAAGTAGATTTGTAATTATTGATATTGAATATTAGATATTGAATATCATAAATAATTAATCTTGAAAAAATTGGAATCAGGAAAACATCTAACTACTTTGTGTGATTAAAAATAGTTTGTTTTTAAAATTTAATCTTGAAATGACTTTAAATATTGATTGGGCACAAAATTCATTCACGTTGCCACCTACAGAGCGACCATCAACTTAGAGCAGAAATAGAATATTTCTCTAATGGCTCAGGTATTTCTGCTCCAAAATATATGCAGCAGTAAGGGTTACTTCCTAAGTTTTAATTTCTTTAGGAATTTCTTCACTCATATCTCCAGCAATGCCTTCGCAAAAATACAACTGGTGGAGATTTGCATATAAAATATTATATAATTAGACAGAAATGAAATATACATAATAAAAACACAAAGCATCCACTGCATCTATTTTCCAATGAGAGTACAGGATCCACATGCATCCAGCTGTGATGTCACGAGTTATGAATTTGTTATCTCAACAATTGCAACAGACCTATTGCATACAAAATAAAATTGTATTTCCTAGCCAAAAGAGACCCCTAGCTTCAACAGCTTCTTTCTTGTCATGACCCTCCATAATATCTTCTAATGTTGCTATTATAACTTCAAATGTAGTAAGTACTGCCTTAACTGCATCATGCCTACAGGCTTATCTAATCTTAATCAATCGCTTCAAATCCTTCATTCTTTAACCTGGACACATAATAGCACATGCACTTTTGAGCTTGACACAAAAGTATACGATGACAAAGAATTCGGCTGCACTGGACACATTTTAAACTGTCAACCAATAAAAGTTTCAGAACATGTGCTGTGCAGTGTATGTAAATGGCCTGTGGTGCAATGTCATGAATTTTCAGCTGCACAACGACTGCTCATAACACTGGCACAGTCCTAACCCAGTGACGCTAAATATATAGGATCTAAACTGAAAGCTGCCATTGTGACATGAGTATGAGAAGGTAGTCCATCAGCAGTAAGTTATGTGGCTGCAATAATGTCAAAAAATGTTACTTAATGCAGTAGAAACCAGCATCAAAATATTTTGTAACAATAGAAAACTGTTTCTTCCTAGTGATATTATATTTAGTTTCGTCTGCAAGTATGAAAAAAGAGGTTGCTTCTTTAAGTTCTTTTGTAATTTCGCCTTTACTTGTGTCAGCTATGATATGAATAACAAAGTTTTGCATTTCAGGAAAAAGGAAAGTTGCATTTTGGGGCCGTTTCAAAGTTTGAATAAAGCAACTTTATCATGCTGTGCCATCTAAAGTTTCTAAAAAATTACCTTGCTTAAATGATGCTACCCACACATCACGTCCCTTTTATGCCATTTCTTGATTGAAACAAAGGAAAAGGATCATGGCTATGAGTGCCAATTATTGCAAATTGCTTTTTACATTATGACGCAATATACCTAACACTGATGTTTCAGCGTACATCCTAGCCTGCTTCCTTGTGATCATTGCCAGTTTATGACTTGTAAAAATGTCATGAAGCATGAAAATTCCCTCAGCACCAAAGGTTTGTTTCCAATCCACTAAGCAGGTTCATGTTAACACTGTGTTTTTATCACTGCCTAATCAAAAAACGGCATGCAAAGAAATATGCTGTCTTCTGTAACAGAATATTAAAGTAAATTATACTGACAAACCATACTTGATTAAAAGATCAACTACTTTTTACCACATAAACATGAGAGATATCACGATTTTAATGGTTGAATAGGAATCATACTTAAACTACGGGCTATATCAGAAGGCATGAAACAAGTCACACTACTTGTGGAAGTGTTACTGCCAGACATTGCACGTCTATTGAAAAATTCATCTATTTGTATTTAGTTCTATTTTTAATTTTTCCTCCCTCCATTTACATGTACATATTTCTCAAATTTTATGTATTTGTCATCTATTATCATGTATTCAATAAAAAACTCAAAACCAGTAAATTTACTTCAAAAAGAATTAGTTATATAAGTTTCTCAGTGCTTGACTTGTGTGCTTATTGCTTAATGCAATTCTAGCCATACAAAAAAATCTCTTAGGCTGCAAAACTGCAGGCAATAGCCAAAAGTTGCTTTACTAAACTTGAAAATGGTGTCTTCTTTCTTTAGGTGCACTACTTCACTGGATTTGCATCAGCTGCTAGTCTTGGTTGATCAAGGAATGTTTGTATCTCCCCAGCATCATAATTAGTAGAGCTGCCGTCTGATAGATACAAAAGTGAAGTAATTTTAATTTTAAGCTGATTGGCTTTTGTTTAAACTTGAAGCAGAAACTGGAAGTGGCTGGGTGTTGATAGAACATAAGGGGTAGATATGACATGAGTTGAGTCAAAAAACACCTTCCTTTCTGTCTGGCAATTAGCAAATCATAGCTTAATCCTTGGGTCCAAAGCAGTAGTGGCTGTATTGATATCTGAATCAAGTACTTATCCAAAGCGACTCTCGGAACTATTAAAAAGGCGTTCACGCAATGCAGTGAAAAATCCATTCTCTCTGTGATTCATCTACTTAACTGTAATTTTAAGTGAGTCTACCACAGGAATCACAATTTTATGTACATGAATCTTCTAATTGTAAGATATTAGTTGCTTGCAAGTGATAAAATATTCTTCTGAGCGTCAGTAAAAACAAAATCAGTACAATTAAAACTTGATTAATGTCTTCCATGTGAAATACAATGTGGACATTAAGGCAATAGTGTAAATTCCAACAAGCATCA